ATTTTGGAACTACGGTTTTAGTCTTTGAAATACTTGACAATGGAACATATCGTAGAAGTTGTCAGGGCCTGAAAACATGTTTCATTCTCAGAAAACTCACTTCACTAATTGAAAAGCCATGACTGAATATTTCATGAAGACTCTGGGAAGTTTATGTTCATGATATATTAGTCATCACTTTTAAGTAGCAAGTTGCATCATGTTATACATATCTGCAATAACAACCTGGATAGGAAACAATTTTTTTTCGATAACTGTTCGTTGGTAATGAAGCAATCATCAATTGTGAGATTTCAACCAATTCCAAACACTAGGTAATATGACAGGCAATCAGTCAAATCACAGAGTCTGACCAGCTGATCCATTCAGTCACCTGTTAAAACATGCATGTGATGCTGGGAACCACCTGTAACCAACAATCATTAACTATTCACCAAAAGAAAGCGCTAACTTAAAATTTCCAAACTTGTAAGAGAGTTTCAAGCATTAGTTGTGTGATAACATTACAACAGTAGATGTTATGACTGCGAACAATCTTAAAAGGATAGAGTTAAGGTAGAAAATATTGTATATTTTGTAGATGGTGTTTTTGGATCAGTAGTGTGTAGTATCACCATGATTTGTCAAACATTCATTCACTTGACAAGGCATATTGTGTAAGAATCTCACAATGGTGATTTTAACAGTCTGTCTCACTATGTTTTGTAACATCTGGCCAGCTGCCTATGACACAGATCCCCCAATCATGTCCCAGATGTGTTCAATGGGCAATATGTCTGGGATCATTGCTGGCAATGGCTTTCTATGGTTGCTCTTGTTGGGAGCTCTAACAATTTATGCACAGTGATGATGGACACTGTTGTCCTTAAAGACAAAATGCTGACCCAAACGACTAGCTAACACTAGTAACAGGACAACAAAAGGTGTCAGTATGTTGTGCTGATAATACTATCCAGTGACTCTTCCTTGCTCAATATGGTGGAGGATTTGGTCAGTCAATGTGATGTCACCCTACCACATAACTGATCCACTGCCAATTATTAGGGCTGCAACGATTCAGTTCGATTCATCGAAAATCGAATCTGACACCTTAGTCTTGAATTTCGATAACTATTATCACTATTTCTATTCGATGTTAGAATACCTATTTAAATTATTCCACACAGGCAGAATGTAATTTTGACTTCAATTTGAGCAGTTTCAAGAGCTGAAATAAGGTGAAATGTGATTGGTTGGATTAATTATCCAATGAGAATTGTTGTTAGTAGACATTACCAAGTTGACGATGGATTTCATGCTAAAAAAAGCAGACTCTGAGAGTTAAATGAAAGCTGATGTTTTCACTTGTATGAAGAATCGATTCGAAAATGATTGAATAGAGGGGCCAATATTGAAAATCAAATCGAATGGAGGTCTGGGTGAATCGTTGCAGCCCTACCAAATATGTCAGATGTCAGGTCTACATTGGCTTACAGTATATTTTGATGTCTCTAGACATGTCTGAAGTGTAAAGTGAATCAGGAACATCTGAATAAATAATCTGACCAGTGACAATACTGACATAACACAAGTTTCAATGTTGTGTAAACCACTGATGTTTGTTGGCAATCTGACAGTTTGTATGGGGCAGCCGAACACATGGCCATTGAACATGAACATCAGCTGCATAGATAATTTCTAATCTGACCTATCGCTTGTTGTCCAGTAGCCTGGTGACAGTTTGCAGTAATTTGAGTTTCTGTTTGAGCTTGATTTTGTAGAGGCTGGTTTCAGATCAACTGATTATGTACTCTTCTCATTGACCTGGGACTCCCGAAGACAATTGTCAACGTATTGGGTTAGGTTGTACCTGGCGCAACTGAATGCATTGGTCACTGTGACGTCTACCAGTTTCCAGCATGTCCATAGTGCATACATGCTTTGTGAGTTGCAGATGTAGCAGTACTAGTTCGTACTTCCGAAACTTATACATTTCCATCACATCTTCATTGGTCACATTGTCAAATATTCATTAAAAATGACCAAAGGAATTGAAGAGTGAGTCTCTGTCGCTTAGTCTACTGCATAACAGTGTTTCCCATCGGTTGTCTGGGCCTCAGTCTGTTTACTCACTGTCACAGCAGGAATATTGCTGATTGCTGCATTAAATTACAGCATCAAACAAACCTAAAAGCCTAGAACTCAGTACTAGTAGTTAATGAGTCTGATCACTGAGCAAAGGTTACAGTTTGATTCCTCACATTGGTACACTGTGTGAAGACCACTTACATTCTCCAGAGTCGTGATGTGTTTATATACAAATTAGGCGCCCTTGGCAGGCAATTTGAGGAAAAAGATCAATATTCTGCTCAAATTGGTCAGTAACATACCAATCACCTGTACAAAGCTGCAACTCTAGTCATATCAATAATATGAAACGGAACTTTTGCAATTCTGATAAGAGTATATTTACTGACATTTGCTGATGACCAAGGGGCAAATATCAGCCTCTGAGTTGACCTAAATATATCCCTGATATTGTAATTGGGTGAAATAAAAGCATTCAACAGGGGTTCATTGTGTTCACAATGAACAGTTGTCGGCAAGTTGTATTTTGAAGGCTTAATGCAGGTATCTCATTGTTTTGGATCATTCCGTTACACTGTTATAGGGCAATTATGTTATTCCATCTTTCTGTCAGTTATGTGATTGGTTATGATCACTGGGATGATTGGGATTGGCTAATTTCAAATCATAAGGTCATCAGCCAGTTTTACTTGCACACAACTTGTCACCCTCACCTGATGTGCACAGCAATTCAAGATAATCAATAATCTACTTCTAAGGTTAGTAATTATAGTACATTATTGCTATATACTTTTATTGAGGCATAAATAACATAAATCAGTATCATAAGTAAGCATTTTCAGGAAAGTATTTAGGATAGTGTAATTAGCAATGTATGAATAATCTTGTGCAATAATGTCGGTAGAATATAGATAAAAGCGTTGTAAATTCCTTGTTACTAATTAACAAAACAGACACTGTAGATCTGGCTAAGACAGATGGCATGACAACACTTCCATGATCCTTAATAGCGCATTGCAGGACAAAAACAACTTTATTCAAAACCTTCAGAACATTTTGGATCACAATCTCCCTTTTCCTAAAAAAAAACTGACCTAAAACCCTGCAGACGAGATAAAACACATGTTTCAGCAGCATGAATCACCTAAGGCTTATCAATTTTCAGTGTAGCAAATAGTGAATGACACAAACTGTATCTAAGGTATCAAATCACACGTCCCCTATCTATACCTGATCCTGCGACAAGGATGAGTGAGTGAGTTCAGTTGTATGCCGCTTTTAGCAATATTCCAGCAATATCACGACGGGGGACACCAGAATAGGCTTCACATATTGTACCCATGTGGGGAATCGAACCCGGGTCTTCCTCGTGAAGAGCTAACGCTTTAACCACTAGACTACCCAACCGCCCCGTGACAAGGATGAGATACACCAGGGCTCCAGATAATTTTTCAACATCAGGAGTACGTACTCCTTATTTTTTCAATAAAGGAATCCTGGAAAACCTTAAGAGAACATTTAGAGTACAGAATGAAATTTCATGGAGTATCAGTAAACTAAGACCGTACACCATTGCTGTGGTGCATATCTGCTACGTTTTCTAAATTATTTCCTACCGTTTCATGCATATCTTTTAGCCATATATACACCGATACGGCCCTTATCTGGAGCCCTGATACACAGATCCCATTCTGAATGTACATTTAGCACACAAATCAATTCATGTCATGGATTTATTTTGATCAACAAAGAACATCACAAAAATACCCTTGGCTTTAAAGTATATAGAAAAGTCAGCAATTAATTTTTCTCATGTAAGCATGGAAGAAAAACAGAACATGATTGTATCTGAATGATCCTGCTTTCTATGATCATAAAAATACTAGCTGATGTACTTGTTTCACACTGAGGACAATTTTGTAAGAATGAAGACTTTATTCCATGAAATTCCACAAAATAGGGCATTTTCAAATGTTCATGACCTAAAATGAAACACATTAAATGGAGACTGGAACTATTTCATTTACACTTGCTTCTGGCTTTCTCAATATAATGAAGAATATTATTCTGAAGTTGCACCCATCACCCCACACAGTGAAAACTTTGTTCCATGATGACCAATTGGGTGAAAAAGACTTCAACACTGCAAGGAAACCATCCTCACAAAAAATAGTTCCTGAATTTACAGCTGACAGTTATGGGGTCATTTCACTCTCTACAAAATGTAGGTATCTTTGAAGGGAGCAATGGTAATTATACAAAATAGACTAGATACAACGTAATAAATCTAACAGAAAACACTAAGGATCTAGAAGAAAACACTAAGGATCTTGCGCTAAAATTGCAAAACAAGATAGCTGGGATATATCATGAAATATCTGCTCTGGATTCTAACTTGCACAAAATACTTTCATTTCATACAGGTAAAAGACCTCTAAATACAGACCAAACATTTTACTATCTATCTGGCTACTAGCAGTGTTCACGAATAGCATCTGACCCTCTGACAAATCTGGCAGATTCGCAAACAGTCCGACAGAAGTGTACAACCTGCCGGCCCCAGTGTCTGACTGCATATTTTTCACAACGACTTTGACTGAAGTTGTTATATGTGACATGTGACACTTGGTTGCTGTTTATAAATCTTATGTTTGTTAATAATTTCAATGCCAATTATAAGAAATGTTAGATCTGAAATGTGTGTTTAAATTTATTCCATGGGTCCTGTGAATTTTCAGTGGGTCAGACAGACATCTGAAACTTACAGGACCCAATGTCCTGTTACTTTGAAACACCATTCGTGAACACTGGACTAGTGGAGTACCAAAACAACAATGTCTCCTGAATTCATATCGGAACATTGGTAACAGCAGTATGACATTCCATGACATCAGAAATCAATTTGTAATACAATGAATGTGACAACAACTTACCTTTGAGAGGTGGCAATTTCTGCAGTTCTCTGTTTTTTGAAACATTGAATCGTGAAGAGTTTTGTCTTTTGTCCTTCTTGACATGAGGGGGTCCTGTGAACTTGATCTTGTTTATTTGGGCTGGAGGTGGATGTGTCTCGTTATTCTGCTGAGCTTTCTTTTTGGCTGCCTGTAATGGAAACATTATTTATAGAGTCTCGTTCGCGATGAAATGTGCTGTAATAGATCACACGACTGCATTTACTGGCAAATACAGTCGATAATCTTCATGGCTCTCGATTTTAGAAAAGTTGGCCGCCATCTTGGATATCCATGTCAATATGGCTGCCTACTGCTAAACAGTGATCAACATCGAGTCACTAAACACACATTCCTACCTCATTTTCCGCATTCTCTGAACCCTCTTTTCCGCCAGCTTTGGAACTTCCCGTTGTCTTGGTTGTCGTCTGAAATGTCAAATGACATATTAGAAGCACCGATATCTAAATTAATGCCTAACAACCTACCCACTCCTTCAAATTTTGACAACAGTAATATGCGGGAATACTGCAATCATTTGCGCGATCGGCACCTAAAACGTCTTCCATTTAGTGCAGTAAGCTTCTAGGATGATAAAATTTAACATACCTTTTCTTTCTTAGTCTTATTTGGCATGTCTAGCGGCGACCTGTACCCCAGGGAAGGTTGATACTCTATTATCGACGTACTCGATCGCCTCAACACTAAACAAGGAAGATGATTGGTCTATTTAGGTCACATGGCTTTCGAAGTCTCTGCCGAAATCATGTGACAACCAAAGCAAAAGTTTGGAAACGTCAATAAAATAAGTGAATACATAATCTTAACGAAATGTTGAAGAAAGTTAGAAATATTTTTCGCTACTAATATGATATTTTCCAAAACATGAGTGACTGGGTTTTTCTGAGAGTGGAAATCTACATAACTGCAAACGTAAGTGACTCTTCTCAAATGTTATTCGACTTATGTTACATAAAAAAATGACTGACGTGGTTATACCTCTTATAAGTATCGATTTGCAATCTGACCAGATTAAAACCTACTATCCCATAATTTTGTTATAAAGAACACAGGAAGTGTAATTGGATATGCGCACTTTCACATGCATAAGCCTATTGATACACAATTAGGAATAGACATAATGTTTAAGTATGTAATATAAATCTTACAACACAAACACCCTTACGTTTAAAAAATAACCCTTGAATATAAACTGTTTCGTTTCAGAAACAACGGCATGTGTCTGCAGTTAAAAGACAGGTGTCTTGAGGTCACGCCTTTAACACACATTTTATGTAACTGCAATGCGTTTACTGTATGCTATATGTGCACGACTTTTTTGTGTGTGCATGTCAGTTGACACCGTGAATAATTAATCTTCATATCCTAATTATGAAACTCTTTTGGTCAGTTTCCTTTACTAATCAGATCACTTTAATAGTCTTAAAAGTGAATTATTAACACTCAAATGTACGTGCTTGGTTATCAACATGTTCAGTCAGAACTGAGAAGACAGTTATAGTTGTTGTTGACATGGTGTTGGGCGTGGTTAACGTTCTTGATCTTATTGTCGACACCAGTCCTGTGATCGGGAGGTCAGGTTTGCTGGCTTGGTTGACACATGACATCGGTTCCCAGTTGCACAGATAGATGCTCATGCTGTTGATCACTGGATTGTCTGGTCCAGACTTGATTATTTACAGACCGCCGCCATATAGCTGGAATATTGCTGAGTGCGGCGTAAAACTAAACTCACTCACTCCTGTGATTGGCGTGTAATACTGTACATATAGTATATGCTGGATATCACTTGAAAACGGTGTTAGAACCTACACCGAAACGTCGCTTTCACTGAAGAAGTTGTTCTTCCATATATTGTTATCGTGGCTTAATTCCTGGATTTTTATTTTTAATATGAAAAAGGTATATTAACAAAAACGTACAAACACGCTTTCGGCAGGTCCTTCACACAAGTGTTGCAGGTAGATTTATGTCAACAAGGTATGCTTCAAGAAATGTCTTTTTCATGTGTTATTTACATCACAGTTGTACCCATGAAGATCCAGGTTAGAATTGGTATTCAGTAACCCATGCTTGTCTCCTCGTGAAGATCCAGGTTAGAATTGGTCTTCAGTAACCCATGCTTGTCTCCTCGTGAAGATCCAGGTTAGAATTGGTATTCAGTAACCCATGCTTGTCTCCTCGTGAAGATCCAGGTTAGAATTGGTATTCAGTAACCCATGCTTGTCTCCTCGTGAAGATCCAGGTTAGAATTGGTATTCAGTAACCCATGCTTGTCTCCTCGTGAAGATCCAGGTTAGAATTGGTCTTCAGTGACCCATGCTTGTCTCCTCGTGAAGATCCAGGTTAGAATTGGTCTTCAGTAGCCCACCCATGCTTGTCTCCTCGTGAAGAAGATCAGTGACCAGGTGAAGATCCAGAATTGGTCTTCAGTAACCCATGCTTGTCTCCTCGTGAAGATCAGGTTAGGTTAGAATTGGTCTTCAGTATCCCATGCTTGTCTTCAGTAACCCTCTTGTCTCCTCGTGAAGATCCAGGTTAGAATTGGTCTTCAGTGCCCACCATTGGTCTTTTTGTCTCCTCGTGAAGATCCAGGTTAGAATTGGTCTTCAGTGACCCATGCTTGTCTCCTCGTGAAGATCCAGGTTAGAATTGGTCTTCAGTAACCCATGCTTGTCTCCTTGTGAAGATCCAGGTTAGAATTGGTCTTCAGTAACCCATGCTTGTCTCCTCGTGAAGATCCAGGTTAGAATTGGTCTTCAGTGACCAATGTTTGTCTCCTCGTGAAGATCCAGGTTAGAATTGGTCTTCAGTGACCAATGTTTGTCATAAGAGGCCACTAACGGGATCAGGAGGTCAGGCTCGCTGACTTGGTTGACACATGCCATCGTATCCCAACTGCGTTGATTGATGCTCTTGTTGTTGATCACTGGATTGTCTGGTCTTGAATTGATTATTTGCAGACCGCCCTCCATATAGCTGGAATATTGTTAAACAACAAAGCAACCAAGATCATAGTTGTAGATAGTTGTACGTGCTCTGCGCGTTTCACTTGTACAAACTGTAGAGATAAGAATAGTTTATATATGTCAGCAGGAAGGTGTATATCGCCTTTTCACCTGCAATCATATATACATGTATTTATATATACCAGTGGTCTAACTGTCATCTATTTCCTTGTATCGGCCATGGATATATTTCCTTTCCTGATTGCTATGAACACTCTACAGTATTTAATGTTGACGAGAGTACTCCTTGCACAAACAGCAAGGCGTATCACGTACATGTATACATAGCTGAAACACACGATGCACGCCGTTCATACGGAACTCCAATTATTAACCTCGATAATGTGGAGACCGCCTCCGTGGTGTAGTGGTTAGAGCGTCAGCCCGGAGAGCGGAAGATCGCGGGTTCGATCTCCGACCGCGTCATACCAAAAGACGTTAAAATATGATACTTGCTGGTCCCTGCCTGGCGCTCGGCATTAATGGGTACAACAAGGACTGGTCGGCTCGGAGTCAGTATAATGTGTGTGAGTGGGGTATTCATGCTTCACTGCGGCATGGTATCTCAGTGGGCTAGCACTATAAAACCAGCCTAAGTCTGGGCTAGTACAAGCAGGCGCACATACACATACACACGCATGCACGTCGTCATATGAGCTAAATATTCTCAAGCACGACGTAAAACCCAATTTCACCTCACCTGGATAATGTGGATCCTGTTATACAGAATGGTGTAACCTGTAGTTAAATCATTTTCTGCACACAGTTGAGCCTAAAACTACCTTCGATTTGAAAGAGACTTAATACTGTTCCGACTGACGTGATCTCAATATTAGACATAACAGTATTTCCCGTTGTCACGTAGCCATGTACCTCCAGCTGGACCCTCGCCAATCAGTGACCGTGTTGTCTGGAATAACGGGGTTTCGTTGTGTATTGAGTGTGAGTGAGAGAGTTTAGTTTTAGGGTATTTCCAGCAATATCACGGCGGGGACAACAGAAATGGGCTTCACATATTGCACCCATGTGGGAAATAGAACCCGAGTCTTCGGCGTGACGAGTGAACGCTTTAACCACTAGGCTACCCCACCACCCCCTTAGTTTATTGAACTGTACATTAAGTTGGTCTACATTAAATTAATGATACTATGCCCTTGTTGTAGCTTTAAAGTATGCTCTTTATGTACTGACAGTTTTAGCGAGGTTAACAGACTATAACGCTTTTTCTCTGAAAACATAATGTTTTGAGAAACAAGTGATTGATATTAGGAGCAACGATGAAGCCTGTCAGGGTACGCTGACAGCTCTGTTCCTAAGCCTGACCATCCGACCCTTTAAGTTGACCAGCACAGACAGGGGCGGATCCAGGATATTGGAGGTGTGTGCGTGCGCGCGTGTGTGAAGTCCAAAGTCATGTCCAAAGGTACGTTATGGGAAATGTCCAAAGAAATATTATTAAGTGAAGTCCAAAGGTACGTTATGTGGTGTGTGTGTGTGTGTGTGTCAGGAAATGTGTTTGTGTGGGGAGAAGGATGTGTGTGTGTGTGTGTGTGTGTTTGTGTACGCCCGCTCTTGATCCGCCCCTGACAGAGTGTCAGGAAACCCAAGGGACATTGTACACCGTTCCTTACGGGGCCATCGCTTGCATGCCTGCGTGATTGACATGATGACGGTCACATTATCTGTATATGTGATTGCGTGTACATACTGGTTCCCCATATTGACATATTAATATGTAATGCGTAAATTTCTATTCATCTGCGTATGACCTTCGAAACCACGACTGGAAACATTTCCTTCCAAACTCATCAAACAGATGATCACTGAATGTATTGTCCTTCCAATGATTGTACATGTATTCCTAACGGTTGCGTTTGCACACATGTGCAGACCAGGACAGGTATATCCATCGACACATGTGAAACATGCGAGACAGGGATCAGATGGCCTTTAATGGTTGCTGAGAATGGATTTAATATGTATTGATGGGAGACCTCTAGTATGCCTCACAGTCCCTAAACCATATTATTTTCCCTACTCCCTCGCCCTCACTGCAACGATCAAGTCCTAAATGAAGCAAGTCTAGATTTCCTCACTGGGGATCCTATTCAGTTTAAATGGGTTTATTTGTAACTGTCAAATTGATTATATTCAGACATTAGCGTTAGTCATGGAGGGCTCCGATTCACCTGCATCCTTTCCCAAACTTATAGTGAATCGTGTCTTATAAGTATGCATGTGTGTGTTTGTGTGCACATGCACGCGTGTGAATGTGTGTGTCTGATTATGCATGTGTATTTGATGTCTAACGCTACAGGTACTCCAGCAGAACGACTCGTGGTCAACCATTGGCTCATCAGCCCGCGATGACAGTGGCGACAGTCTTGTTGCCAACTTGTTGATGAACGGGTCATAAACACGGCATTTCTGGGGCAGTTCCGTGTTTCACATATTCTAGAACATTTCCTGACGATTGTATCAAAACACTAACAAGAACACACGGAAATCGACAGACTGTGGTTTCACACATACAGGAATGAACAGGTCATACTGTCAATGTTACCTCACACTTTAATGTAGTTCAGATAGTTTGGTTTGTTGTTTTACGCCGCACTCAGCAATACTCCAGCTATATGGCAGCGGTCTGTAAATAATCAAGTATGGACCAGACAATCCAGTGATCAACAGCATGATCATCAATCTACG